GGGCGAACCCTTCACAAGCGGTTCTGCATTTTCACCAGGACTGAAGGACGGTGTCAGGGAGCTAACATAAGTATGTACTGGTGTAACCCGCCTACCACTTGATGGCTAGGCTGAGGAATGCTGGTCTAAGTGGTCAGATTTCATCTTTTCTCATCTCATTTTCGATGATAATTTGCTGTTCGTTAGTACGGTTACACGTAACTAATCAAAACTCGAAGCAAAACACGTAGTAGGAGACCTCTATTGCCCCTGGGTCGTCTTGCTAGCCATCAAGTAGTCGCTATATAGTCCCCGCCAGCATGGAGCTAGGTCAAAGATTAAACTATTGAGGTAGAATCTAAACTTTTCAAAATCGGTATCAGTTTATGTTGTCAAACATCAGATTGGGAACATACTTCTGACGATTTGTCTGTCCCATCATTTGAAGTATGAATGTATCTTGGCAGCGATTATAATTATTTGGAATCATGGCTCCATTTGAAATGATACTAATATGAACATTAAGTTGCGAGAATAATTATCGTTGGTAGTTTTCGATCGTTAGTGTTTCGTTTATTTCGTTCTACATTCACCAAAAATCAACAGAACGTTTCCCAATATTTCGTTGTTCGTTATTTCTTCTAAAACTCCCTTAGTCAAATAATAACAGATATGTTCCTAAAATACTGATAAGATTGCTTACAAAATTCACAGCGCATTTGGAAGCGGAGCAGTGATTTGGAACAGTTACCCAAACATATTTTTGCATGCAGTCACCATTACGTCCGCCACTTTCCGCAGCGTTACCGGTCCCGAAGAGATTGCACAGGCAATCTTCAGAAATTGCAGAACTCCGAGACTGCGAATTCATCTTACACGGTCCGCGTGCCATTTATCAAGCGCATCGACGCGGCGCGGTTCGCCGTTGCGAACCCTTCTGCTCTTTCGTTTTTGGTTTATCGGCGGCCGATCGATCCGCGGCGTGCGGTGATTTGCCACGTTTTTTGCGGTGTTTCTTGCCGGGAGATGGAACTTCGGAACCGCTTCTACCGGAAAATGCATTTTTATTTTCAACGGTCCTTGCATTTTCATTTGAATCCGCGTTTACCTCCTGTCGGTTCTTTTTGCTTTCGTTCGCCGATGAACGAAAACAGGAAAAGAAGAATGATGGGATCGAGCGATTCGAAATAAGCACATACGGTGGCTAATTTTGGTGATGAGTATTAATAGAGTTTTGTTGTGTATGGAGTCATCGGCGCGGTGGGATTCTTTGGTCGACGGTGTCTGGGTTTGTTTTTATCCAGATTTTCAAAGGCTTCGTTTTACTTCGTACCTTTTTATAGGTAATTTATGCTGACAGCTGATTTTATTGGATTTAATGCAAAAATCAAAGCGCCTTCTGCAAGTACGTGTTTTAAGAACATCTAGAGAAGTTGATAAATAAGAACGTGAACGGCTCTAGGCCCTAAATTTCAATTTCGAAATTTCAATTGACAAAGGAATCCATCTATCAATTATCCACATTCTCTCTAAGTAATTATCTAAAATATAACGAACCAAGAAATATGGACTAAATAAAAAATATTATACAGTCCATGGTCCTATGTCCTAAATTCAATTTCGCATTTTCAATTTACAAGGAAATCTACCTATCAATTACCTACATCATCTCCAAGTAATCATCTAAAATATAACGAACCAAGAAGTACAGACACAATGAAAGATTCGAACGGTCCGAAGTTTATGAATGTTTTAAATATCAATTACAAAATATTAAGTCACAAAAGAATCTATCTACTGATAATCCACGTTATCCCCAAGTAATCATCTAAAATGCAACAAAAAAGGAGGCACAGACAAAATAAAATACAATCAAACGAATCGTCGAAACGCCGACCAAAATCATAAGATTTTAATCTCCGCCTTTTGCAGCGATACATAGAGGAAATGTTCAATGATGAACTTTAATCATCGCCGGGCAATTTGCCCCTCGTCCTCGTGAAATTTCCGATGTTACTGGTAACCATCGAAAGGCCCAGTCTCAGCTCGTCTCCGTGCTCCTTAATGTCTGGCCAATGAGACGGTCCACCGCGATAGGCCATTTCACCGTCCGCTAAAAATAATACTCGCGCTATAAGCGCAACGTCGGTCCTCCCGCGTGTGGCGCGTCTATCACGAGGAAGGGGTTCGGCATCGAGCAAAAGGAGCATCGAAAACGGAGAGAGGACGGTTTAAGTCGGTTGGTAGGTAAAGCCGACAGAACGCGGGAAGGAAGATATATGGCGTCCGACAAATTCGAACACGTCAGACGCGCTCTACGGGCTCCGCTCGGCTCGGCTCGCCGTGCCACGCCGCGGTGTATCGCGCGCGAAGAGAGGAAGGACGAATTAACGCAAATGTAAATATTCGCAGCTGCCATTCGCGCGCCGCACGAAAGGAGAAATTGCCTCGATTAACGTCTTCCTCTGGGCAAAGCGGCGGTCGAGGCCGATTTTCCCAGCGATAAAAATCGCGAGATACCTGATCGGCCGGGATTCGCGTCGCCGACCAGTTTCCCCGCCGCGGCAATATAAATTGGCCCCTCGCTTACCCGTTTATACCCGTTTTAATTAATAGTAGAGCGATTTTTCCGCGACCCGCCTATACATCTCTCGCTCATGGTCACCGGTCCCAGGCAGTTTTATTCGAATTTAAGCGGGTACGGGTAATATTGGAATATCGATTGAATTTTTTATGCTCGTAAAGTTTTATGTTGGAACGCGGCCGCCGGATACGCGTCGCGTCGACGACGTGGCTTTTTGGTATTCGCCGATTTTTTTCTTCGTTTTCGTTTGTTTGCCTTCGTTTTCTCTTTCTTTCCCTTCGTTCGTCGGGTGTGCCGCGAACGGTGACCGTATCGTTTTATGTATCAATGTGTATTATGCAAAGTGCGCAAATGAAAATTAGTGTTCCGCCGACATCGGCTCTTACAGCCGGCATTGAATTAATACATATTCGAAACGGAGGCCGTTGAGTCTGCGGATACGACCGCGAGTGTTCTGTAATGCGGTTGGAGTTTACAAGTAGCTTTTAACGTTGGACCGCTGTTGGTAACGCTGCTGTTTGTTGCAGGAAGTGTTTTGCATTTTTAATGATAATTCAATCGTTTAGATAAGCCATTACGTTTCACTCATAACATTATTCCGTGATTGAAGGTTAATATCGGTGTAATAACCAAATGATACAAGCTTCTTTGAATTAACTTACACGTACACACGATGGAAAGAGAATGTACATATCGGGAATTTAATGTTAGTGTCATCAACATTGATGTTGCAAGTGCTAATATTAATTATTGAATAATCTAATAGTATGGTAAAAGAATCGTTCTCGAACGTGTTTACCTACACCAGAAAACAAGTTCGGAAATTTGGTTACAAAACGAACTAAGTTTCTGCTTTACATATAGTATCTGATATACCTAAAATCCAATATAGTAATATTCTCATTTCATATGCAACGTAATAAATATCCCAAACATCTTCTTAATTTCTGTTTCATATCGCATTGGCAATTTAATTCGAAAATCTGTCAATTCAAACATCGAATTAACAAGCAGTTCAATTTAAAGTACGTAATCATTAAGCACAAGGTTCTCCATAAAGTGTTCAACAAGAAGAACTCTCCTAAAGCTTTCCGAAATGACACCATTGACTCTTTTTTACTATACTCGTTTCATTTAGACACAGTTTCTACGCTGGCTGGTATTTTCCTCGTCAATCTATGGGGTCCATGGGAACCTCCAGCTGAGAAGAGGCGCGCGCGCGCGCTCGTGCTGTTCCTCTTCGCGGACCACCCCTTGTCATCTGGGCGTTACGACTACGTGCTCTTCCTACAATCCTACTGTTCTCGTTTTTTGGCTTTCCTCCTCGTGGCCGTCTCGTCGAGCAGACGACTTGGCGCGCGCCACTTTACGTCCTCGAGAAGTTACGGGCCCTCCCGAACCTCCGGGAGCCCGAATCCTCTCCCTCTCTCTTTCTCACCCAACTTTTCCCGTTCAACGAGACGCTCGGTCGTTCCCTTTAGCATAAAGTTATAATTTCATCCAGTAGAAGCCAATAAAGTAAAAGTAGTGTAAATTTTTCGAGGGTTTTATCCCGCACATTATCGTCAGAGATGTCAAGATCAGATAATCCGGCTGGTATATACGACGGAGGTCGGACGCGCGCCAAGTCTTTATTCGAGATAATTTATCTGGTGTACCACTTTTGTCGCTGTCCGCGAGAAAATTGTTTTTAATTGACCTTCGGATCGAATTGTCTTTTGGCCCGTTAATTAGATAGAGATGCGATTCACGGAAACTAGTTTTATGTGATTGTACAAGTGTAAATAACACTTTAGGTCTTTTGTCTTTTAAGTTTCTAACTTTTTTTTTTAAGGTGAGACAAGAGCTGTTACTGTATATGGTTCTGCGAATCATCATTCAATATACCTACTGTTATTACGTTTATATCGTACACTTTGCCAATTGAAATTTTAATCAATGCAACAAATAAAATAAAAATAAAATAAACATTTCAATTCAATTTCATACAAGCTCGCTTTATATTCCATTCAACGAGTTCTTTAAAAACTAATAAAACCATAGACCCATTTAACTTCATCCCTAAAAACGCCTACGCAAACACGAACCACGTGATTCAGATCAACCCCCGTCGATAAAAACGGACATCAAAGATTCAAACGTCGCGATCCATCCACGTCAAACTCTGCCCACGTAACGTCTAATAAAACGTGTGGAGATGGCCACTAGAATATACACCCACTCGAAAATCGACTCGCCCGCCGTCAAGATAAAACCCAATCGTCCCATTTATTCGGGCGGTGAACCTTCGTTTCCGGTTCCCCGAAAAACGCGTCAAGGAATCAGCTGATCCGCGTCCGCGATACGGCGAACGCCGAACGCAGCGCCGTCGGCCGCAGTCGCGGCGTCGATGCGAATCAGCCTTCCACCTCCTACGTCCGCCAGGCCAGGGATCCCTTCGTGCAGTCCAGTTCCGATGTTCCTGCGCGACGGTACGAAAACGATCGAGGGGGTACCGCGGAGAGCGTGTCCGAACGTGTTCGTGTTCCGTGCTTATCTCGTGCCCGTGGAAGTCGCGTTCGTGTCGCGTGTTGGTTCGTAAAAGCGTCTTGTGTGAGTAGTGCGTTTATAAGAGATTAGACCACAGGAGATCGGACCGCTTTTTCCCTCCGTTCACCGGATCACCGGTTGACCGGTAACGTATCGCAAGCCGCAACACGCTATAGTCGGTTGAAATCGTCACGGTGACAATTGGATTCACTCCGAAGTTTGTGTTCCACCTCCCCTCCCCACTTCTTATCCGCCGGGCTAACTCTTGGCATTACACGACGAGCATTGTCACGGATACATGGAAACGTAGATTAGGTGGATTACTTCGGTCGAGCGACCGGTGTGCGGCGATCGGCGACGCTCTTGTTTACGTTGCTCGCCGGTAAGCCAGAGTAGGGCCTGGAACAGAGAGAAAGAGGGAGTCGCCGCGGTGGAAACGGACAAAAGGGATTTGAATGTGCGACCGTGTGTGCGTGTGTGCGCGTGCCTCCATCTACGCGCGGACGTCTCTTTTCCACGCGAAGATGCTCGGCATTTGTATCTGTAGCTGCGGGACGGTCGTTCGCGTCCCGACGTGATTTTTAGCTGAATATTTTGTCGTGGTATCGAGCCGACTACGGCTGCACGGTAATAACAGTGAGTTTCTTTCGTGCAACGTACCGTGTACACTCGGTCGCGTGTATACACACCGCAAGGCTGGCGTGTTGTGACGCGTTACGTGACACTGTTTTTCGAACGGTTTTATTCGCGGAGCGGCAAGGCTCTAGGTGGCTCGTAATGTTATTCCGGAGGAATGTTTCGTGGTTGAGTGTAAGCTTTGTAAAATTGATGCTGTTTTGATCGTAGGATCACTATTTTCCTTTTTTCTTCCTTTTTTTTTGCTTTTTGTTTTCTTATGTGGATTTCGTTCATCCATAGATCGGTGTTTGCGTACGCAAGGACGATTTCCATGAGTCGTTATACAGTATAATGTGGTTCTTGGGAATATGGCGTGGGATATTGGAGCAGTTTTATTGTTCGATGCGGGAATTGTTGGTCTGTTAAATACTTTCCGGTGTGCCTCGGGCAGTTTATTTGTATCTCGAAATTAGCAGTGGGGTATGGTGTATAATTATCGAGTTGTATAGGAGTTAAGTTACGATGTTCGCATCATTATCACAATTTATAGTATAGTGTGATACACTTTTTTGTTTAGGATTTTAGCAGTATATTCCTTTAATATATATTTTTGTAGTATATTTTGATAAATGAATTTTGTAAAGTATCAATTTCTTTTTAAGATTTTATTTTTACCGCGCGCTTTATTATTAATATACAAATATGTAATATGTATTTTTCCAAATAGTATTTTTATTTGAATATAAAATTTTCAGTTAAATATATTCAATACTGTATATATTGGAGTATTACATTAAGGAGCTAAGGATTTGAGAAATCAAGAAGTGAATGTAATACAATGATCTGGTATCTGAATAATGTAGGTTAAGTTTATATTGTATAGCGTCGGTAACTTTAAAATTATTTTAACAATTTAAAACATCTCTAACATGAGTTGCGTGTTGTATACAAAAATTTAGATGAAATTTAATAAAAATTGTAAAAATTGAGAATTGGAATTTAATACTATTTTTTCACAGAAATACATTAAGAATAAAGAAAAGCTTTATCAACATTTTAGGTAAAGTTCTTATCTCAGTACAAACATTAATACTTTCAACTACATACAAAACTACATTTTATATTTTATGATACTACTTTCATATTATATATCAAAATTAATATTTAGTCATTATACCGTTTCTTATTATTTTATTCCAAACTTCAAAATGTATAAAAATAAATTTGAAATGCAGTTATTCCGGACAAAGAGTATCCAATAAAGCTTCTTAACATACCACATACTTCACGTAAAATGAAAAGTATAATCACTCCTTTATCAAAGATGGAGTACTGTAATATTCATTGAAATAACAACAAAGTCATACAAAATGATGCGTGTACCATGATCAAGCATTAAAAGATATTACTGAAACAATTATCCCAGATATTACTGAAACAATTCTACCACCGTTGGTAGAATGACTTGGCAGAACTTATTTTACTTTTGCGTTGAAACATGCAGAAAACAAGTTCCAACCCCATTTAACCCAACAACTATCCTATAAACATTCATTATCTTCTCAAACAATAAAGCGTAGTTAACGCAGAAAGTACCCATTCATTTTGCAATCGCTAAATCTCTTAACCCTTTGCACTCTGAGTCCGTTTTACATTTCCTTTTCAATAATTTCATATTATTTTAAATGTTTCATTTAAAATCTATTTCGAAACACAGTTAATTGACGTAAAAAAGTGTAAACAATTCTTTTCACTAATACCATTGAAACCAATCTAATAACATAATACAGTTTAAAAATATCTCAAAAGAGAAGCACATTTTTCAATAAACCTAATGTCAACTCACATTCGAGGTAACAGTACAAAGAGGTAAAACAAACAAGAAACCAGTAAAAACGTTCCGATTAACATTTATGCATCGAATCACATAATTCCACCATTCCGTGTTATCCGCGATCACTAACAATGCCGGCTGTTACGGCCAATACACGAACGTTGTTCATTGCATCCATCGTTTAGCTTAATCGAATACACTTCGCCGTGGGTAACAGAATTCCGGGTGAAAGTTAAATTGGCCAGCCATGGATTTGACCAACAAATAACCAAACTCGCAGTTTATTGGTGAACAGACATGCAGGTCCGCGATAGCCATCGGGTCGGGATGTGCCCGCGCACAATCAGAATTCCCCGGGATCATCGATAGGGTCGACGATTTAGCGGCTGCAGATCGTGCACGAGTCACGTACACCGCAAAGAAGT